TATATATATATATATTTCTTTTTCTTTTCTCTTCCTTTATTTTTTTTCCCATACGTTTTTTGTCCTAAACCAAATAAACCATAAGATTGTGAAATTTACAAATTATATTTAAATTGCCCAATAAAAAAATTAATTCTTTTGAACTTACTTTTAAAATAGTGCATAAAAAAATTAAATTGATTAATTATATATTTGAAAATTATTTCTTTCAAAATTGTTTCTCCCATTTATTACTTAATGGTAGTCCCTTTAGTACCGCTCTTGAAAAATAAAAAATAAAACTATCAAACGAAACATTATATAAAAATGTATTCCTTACCTAATCATTATTTTAATTTAACTTGAATTTTCTAACGGACGTACGAAAAGAATGAAAAGTGCTAAAGAAAAAAAAATGCTAGGTAGCTTGGTCATTGTAATTAGACTGTATATACCCTCCCTTCCTCTCTCTCTCTCTCCCTCTCCCCCTCTCTCTATATATATATATTCAACTTTTTTCATCTCATTTTTATCCATTTTTTAATTTTTCATCAAATTATTTATTGCATTTATCATTTTTCCCTTTCTACTGTCAAAATACTAGCTAGGAAGTTCTCCAGCGACTACAAAGAACTATCCTGGAAATTTATGATTATGGTCAGTCTTTTTTCGTTGAATGAAATATCCTTCCGCGTTTGTTTAAGGTAGGGAGCACACAACTAAGACTGTAAGTCGAAATTGAAGGAAAGGGATATATAAAATAAAATACAATATAATGGATTACCCAAGCTTATCAAATTATTTATTCACCAAGAATAAGAAAATGATGAGAATGTTGGGATACAAACAAGTCTCACATTAATAAAATAATATAAAAGATAATAACTTATATAATACAAACATATTTTAATGATTGATAGATCTTTTAGGTAATGATCAAAAGTAAAACTATGAGGGCTTAGGTACAAAGCGGACAATATCTCATCATTGTGAAATATGCTTGTGTAATAACTTTATAAAAATAACTTTCATAGGACAATATCTCATCATTGTGGAGTATGTTTGTGTAATAACCTTATAAAAACAACCTTCATAAAACAATATCTTATCATTGTAGAGTATGTTTGTATAATAACCTTATAAAACCAACCTTCATAAAATATCCTTAAACAACCTTCATAAAATATCTCCTCAAACAAATATCATAACATAACCCCGTAGCGAATGTCCAAGATAATTATAATTATTTCATTGTTTCAATTCGAGATCGATACTCCAGACTAATGGCGCCTATTTGAAAAAAATTGTCATGGCGTCGCACCCTAGGTAGGTCCCACACCAATTCCTTTACGCGTCTGAATATTTAACCAATTAAGAGCAGTGTTACACCATCACTATTCACTACATACACATATAATATATACCGAAAGTTTTACTGATATACACGTACTTATAGTCCATGCATTAATGAACAGTACTGTATGCAACTTGATCGGGATAAATTTCTTTTAACCTTATACTTATAACTTTCCTTCACAAAAACGCGTTGTGTATGCTCACATGTCTGCAATTCGTGTATAGAATGCAAGGGGGAAAAGAAAAAAGCATATGGGTAAGGAAATTTCAATTGAAATGCAGATTATACAAAAATTTGCCTTTTATTTAGGTAATGTCGAAGCGTGAGATATATAAATAGATAATTCAGCTAGCGTTTCCTCGAACCTTCCCATTCGTACAGTTAGTCGAATCCCATCCATCACTTAGTATTATATATGGTACCCTAGTAAGTAGTAACCCTACTATTATGAGCGTCTCGGTATCCAAAAATTAAGTTTTCTGTCCAAAAAAGAATTTTTGTTATTTAGTTGCTGAATCAATTGTGTATTTTTTGTTTTAAAATGGAAGCAAAAAGACAATATAAGCAAGAGGGTGATGGAAGGGATGTTCAAGCTCTTGTTCACGACTCAAAGCGGAGACGTGAAGATTCACAACAATCGGACACTGTCTGGTATAATTTGTTGTTGTCGATATTTCTTTAGGAGTTCTACGTTAATCGTACATCATGAATAAGTTAATTATATGATAGTTGTACGTATTAATTTGGACATACACCCAAAAATAGTTAAGAAAGGTGAATCTATGATAACCATCTTTTGATGTCATGCATTCTTCTTTTATCAATAATTTGAATCTGCTTGAATACTTTAGATCTTTTAAAGATACATATGTAAACGATTCCGTTAATATTTTAATAAATCAGTGGAAAATCGACTTTTAGAAATAAAATTTGTAATATTCTACAATTCTGACTAATTTCAATATTTTGGTGCAAGCGTTTAATTTTGTGGTTACTTTATTGTGCAGTACCAGTAAAAGTAGGAGATCGCTATTTCACTTGGAGCAGCATGACATCGCGCGGTACTTTGAAAATTTTTCTCGAAGAGTGGTAAGAACCCTCTTTTTTGTGAAAGAGCTCGAAGTTGACGATGATATTGATATTCATCTTAACAACTGCCTTTTACAACATGTTTAAGCATACACTATACACATATATTATGAACTTTCTGTTATTGATTTATATTATTTAATCCTTAACCAGGTACGAGAGGAGTTGGAACACAAACTATCGTTAAGGTTTGTATTCTCTCGTCTATGTTTTCTAAATATAATTTATTAGTCCTTGCAATTTAATTATCAAAATAAGCAATTTTGTCAGCCTTATAATTATGATTGCTGCGAAAATAGATGTCATGCATCTGATATTTGATAAAGTTTTCGAATTTGTTGTAGTTGCAGACCAACTGTTAATCATATTGGAACATCTGGAACCGAATTCTTGCAACTGGTTTTTGAGAATGAATTGCCAGATACAATTTTTACTTTCTCCAAGATCAAAGCTAAAGATAACATTTATGTTAAGATTGCTCTTTATGACACTATATCTCAGTCTATAGTCGCTGATGGTCCACTGTCTTCGATCAAGATAGATATTTGCGTCCTTGACAGTACTAAATATAAAATCTTACGTCAAAGAGAACATAAAGGTAAGTTACTGAAAGGAGAAACTGTTATTACACTTAAAAATGGAGTTGGTTATATCAACAACGTTGTGTTCACTGATAACACATGCTGGACAAGCAACCGACGCGTCGTGTTAGGAGCCAAGGTTGTGCAATCAAATTTGAATGACGCGATAAACATCAGAAGTGGTAGAAGTAAACCTTTTGTTGTTAAGGATAATAGAGGAGAGTGTAAGTATTCATCGATTCGTACCACTTTTTGTGTTTCTCTTTTCTCTTTCTATTAGTCATCGTGGAATGATATTAGAATTCATTATTGTAGTTTTTTTAGAATATGCTTAAAACCATATATTTCATTTGTTATTTTGTTAAAAGTATTTTTTATGCTTTATAATAAGTGACTATTTTACTTTATTTCACTTTCCATACAATTAATTAAACAATCAATTAAATCTTGAAATCAAACCTAAATTTGTATTTGTTATTGTGTTATCCTTTAACTTCGTTTTTATATGTTGTAAACTTTAATCATTTAAGATAATTCATGTGACTAACATGTGATTTGGTCCTTTCAGTGAATCAGAAACACTACCCTCCATCCCTCAAAGATGAAATATGGCGTTTGAAATATATATCAAAAACTGGGAAAATTTATGAGCGGTTGTCTTCAGCCGGGATAAACACCGTTGAGGATCTGTTGCAAGAGCTTGAAACCAATCCAACATCTTTACAAGAGGTATATTAAGGAAAAAAAACACTTGTTGTTCTTGTTATATTTAGTATACATAATTTGATACATAAAATTTCATCTTAATCTAATTTGTTCTGTAATGATAGAAATTTGGCAAAATTTCAAAAAAGCGATGGGAAGAAGTTATTGAGCATGCTAAAACTTGTGTTATTGCTGAAGTGACAACTGATGGACAAAGTTACCATTCAGCTGAGAAGAATCTCAACTCCGCCGAGAGGGTATACATGTACACTATGCCTATTATTTTTGTGTCTTGAAATTAATGCTTCATGTAATGATATTGTAACTCTGGATATTCTTCACCTCAAATTCTTACACTTATATCTTGCTTTCTTTCTCTTTCATTTTTGGCCTTTTATTAGGTTATTTTCTCCTACTTTCTTCCTATCTCTCTATCACTTGAAAGGATACATATACATACTGGGATTTGGATCCTATAAAGCACACCTCTCTCCATTTTCTCTAGTTTACTCTAATTATTGTTTATCTCTCCGTCGTTTACGTACCTATTTTTTCTTCTTCTTCTTTTTAACTTTCATGCTTTTGTTTCACGCATATAGCTGTTTGGAATGAATTTTACTGATTCATCTTTGGATATTCTTAAATTTAATAATTCATATCTTATCATAATTAACCTAGCTGTGTGATCAAGATATATACTTTTCTAACTGGCAACAAACTTGCGAAAATTTGAAGGATCTGGTGCCAGTTAAGGCAATAGGACATGATTCAGTGAAAACAGTCACACAAGCTACACAATACGGTGCTCTACATAAAGATCTGCAGCATCATGCTGCATTCCAAATTGCTCAGCAAGGTACTATATATATACCCAGTATCCTGCATAAACACTTATTTGCAACATCTTCGTGCATATATCATATCAAATTAATATGCATTTTTTCATTTCAGAAGAAATTTCTAGACAAATGGATAACTGGTCAACAGTGGGGTTTGTCCCTCAAGCAACAATTGCTGATGGAACCACAAGTTGTTGGACTCAACCTTACATATAAATCCTGCACTCTTTTTCTGTGATGATGGAGCAGAATCTAGCAATCCTTTGGATGTGTCAAGCAAAGGGAAAAGCAAGGTAGTTTGAAATAAGATTCTAAGTGCTTTCAAATGGATGGTACTACATGCTGCTAAAGGAACAAAACTTCTTCACCGTCAGTATTGCTCTCAAATTGTGTTTTTTCATCGTCAAGAACATTATGTTATTTATTTACTCGAACTTTCTCAGAATGTTTTTTTTTTCATCGTCAAGAACAAGTGCCATGAAGAGTCCTGGCCGCTATACATATCTGTGTTTCTATCCGTGTATGTGCACACGTAGTGTGTGAAAGAGAGATATATTCTTTAACAATTTTTAATTAAATATGAATTTAATTGATTTAATTACTAGATTATAATTTCATATCATTTTATTTATGTGTTAAAATTGAATAATAAAATAAAAATAATTAAAATATTTATATTTTAATATATTTTAGAAATAAATATATTATTTTAATTTTATTATATAAGAATGAAATATTAAATCATCTTGAACTAATATAAAATTTTGTATATATGATTTAGAAATAAATAACTTTCAATCTATTGATAAATTTTAAAAAATTTACATCTAATTAAAAATTATTGAGTGATATAATAGTTAATAAAAATTACACATATATCATTTGAAATACATACTTCAATTTAGAGTATTTGTGTAAAGATATTTAAGAGCTTATAACTTATTATCCTCGTAAGTTAATTGAAGTAACTTTAAAACTCTTAAAATTGACAATTGATTTTAAAAGTCAAACTAACAAAATAGATTATTTTAAAATTGGTTAAATAATAATTTTAAAGTAAAAATAATCGATTTAAAAAAAATCTCACCGGAATACCTTAGAAATTTAAAACAATAAATAGATAAATAATAATAATTTAAGAAAAACAATATATATATATATATATATATGATCTAGAAGTAATTAGGAGTAAGGAAGATCAAAATTGTTTATTCCTTTGTACAATTATTAGGCTAAAAAGTATGATTGTTTCATGATAGTAGAGAATCTTTTCAACTTAAATATCAATTATGTTAAATATAGCATGGTTTCCATGAATTAAATTTCAATATAAAATATAAATCAAATTCAATAAGTCAGACCATATGGTATAATCACAGTTAAAATAGAAAAACATTAATCAACATGTTGAAAATAAACATCTATAACAATAGCTAACAAAATTGAGATATTAAAGAAAGAGAGTAAAGCTTCATTAAAATGATTCGTTTAATCTGATTCAATATGTTAAAACACATGATGAGTACATTACAAAATGAATAGATTTGTTATTTACACATTTAAATGTCTTTTAAAATATACAGCAAAAAAGTAAAAATAAAAATCAGCAAATAAATAATGGTACAATATGATCACACTTAAATGTTAAGTTAACATTCTTTTCTTTTTTACACAATTATAAATATGTTAAAATAGTGTGTTCCATGATAATAGTTAATTTGAGCAATATCTTTTTAACCTAAATATCAACTATGTAAAATAAACTGATAAAAAATGTATTTCCATATGCCATATATATACTTCTGCATGCAATGAATAAAACACAATAGTCAATTCAAAGAATAACATATACTATTATGTCATGTAAAGGTAACACTTAATCACACGAACAACAAATAACTCCATCGCCACTTTTGCAGACTCTGTTATTAAATGGCTATATTTCACTTTCCTATCGTGGTTTGCGCTGCTTTAGGTGAATAATTGTAGTTGGGATTATTGCTCTTAAATACCCCGAAATATTGTACTGTCATTTCATAAATGTTGAAGAAATTCCATTGTGGAGTATGACTTGTAACTCAATTGATAGGTGCTAAAATTACTTCCACAACTCTTTGTAAGGGATCTCTCTGTGTGCGTACGTGTGTGACAAGTGACAACAGAAATTAAAAAAACCCTTCGCCCTAAAGTCAGTATCATTTCTTATTAGTTCTCTTTAATTAATCCCTGTCGTTGTATATTTTAAAATATTTCAAAAGTTAAATTTATTTGCAAAATTATTTTAAATTTAAATTTAAAATAATTATTTATTAACTATAGATTTTAAAATATAATTAATTTTAATTTTAATAAAATATAATAAATTAATAAATGTGATCGGTATTCCCTCCTATAAATACTGAAAATGAGTTGGATATAGAGCATTATTATTTTTAATCTTTGTATATTATTATAACCATTTATTTGCTTATCAAAAGAGTAAGTAACAATTTCATATATTATTCATATCTTTTGGCGATATTATATGTTAGTGTGATACTTTTAAGATTTTTTAAATCATATTTAAAGATAAAAATAGTGATTTTAAATTTTAGTGCGATAAAATTTAAAAGAAAAATATTTTATAAAAATTGAAATTAAAATTTACTTATTTTATAATGGACAAAGATATTTTACAATGATAAAATAAAATACTTACAAGTTTTAAAAGGATGGAAATTAAAAAAAAAATAAAAAAATACAGAGATCAAAATTAAAAAAATATATTAAAGAAACTAAAAACATATTTAATTTTTTTTTATAAATTATCACTAAAAATTTATGATTAATGAAATTACATTGTAACAAATTCTGTATATATTTATGTTTTATTTTCAATCGGTAGAGGATGATACTATTTTTTTAAGGAATGAATTCGATGATGTTATAAAAAAAATTTAAGGCTTCCTTTAAAAAAGAATAATTTATTTTTTCTTATAATATTTTTCTCACTAATGTTTTATAATAAATGTAAATATATTCTATATTTTTAAGATATTAAATATATTTGTTTCTTTATAAAAGAGGTTAGATAGGTTTTATTCTTAAACTTTTCTTGAATTTTTTTTTTGTCATTAAACAAAAATCCCAGTGCCTAATTTTTTCACCCATTAAGATTTTTTGCTCTTGTCGTCTAGTGTCATTGTTAAATGATGACGTAACAGATATTGGAAGCTACATTGGGAGCCACATCATCGATTATTCTTCTATGCTAGTCATGTTTTTTTTTGTATTATATTTTTAATTTCTCATTTTTTTCTCAAAAGTTACTTTTAATTTTCTTAACAATTTTTTAATCAATGTTAATTACTTTTAATTTTCTCAAAAGTTATATATATATATATATAAATCATATGTTATTTAACTTCAAGCGTGTGGTTCAGTGGTAAGGGTTGATTCACGCTTAAGCAAGGTTAGGGGTTCGAACTTGCCTTATGTATGCAGCCGCGTTAAATCTTGGGACCAATTATCCCACCCTTTAAGGTGCCTCCAACGTAGCGAGAAGATTAGTCACTGCTATCATCCCTGGATACTTCAGGGACAAACAAAAAAAATCATATATTATTTTATTTTTATTTTATGACAAAAAATTATAACAATTAAACAATTATATATGCATATTCAATTTGTGAACAAGGCTTAAAAGTTGTGAGCGATGTAGTAAGTAAAATAAACACCTTTAATAAAAAAAATCCACAATATATAAATCAACTATAACTTTATTGGAGTTTTGATTCCTAGGTTTAATAGTTTATGATTGTGCTTATTTATTGATTTTTCTTTGCATAGAGAGCTGGTTTTGTTGAAGGACAAGTAATGAATTTCATGAAAGAATAAGGATTAACATCGGTAAAATATTGTTGAAAAACTCTAAATGAATTTCACAAGAAGAAGATAGAGAACTAAAAACATATATATTTTATAAAAATTAGAAAAAAAAATATCAATACATCATGTTATTTTATTAGTGTGATCATGTCAACAAAAATTATTAGATAGGGAGACTCAAATTGTAAAATTATAATACTTGAAAACTAATATTTCTTAATTAAAAAATGATCGAGGGACAAAAAATCGCACAAATGTTATACATGAAAAATTAAAATCATACAATTACAATATTAGAAAAATTGAAAAGACATTTAAACATGTGAGATGGAAAACCCTTAATACAAAAATCAACAAGCAACAATATACAAATCAATTAAAATTTTGTAATTTGAGTTTTGATTCTTGGGTTCAATAGTTTGTGATTTTGTTTATTTAATAATTTTGTTAGTTGTTGATATTGTGACTACACTATCATAGAAGATGAATGTCAAAGGTGTCAAACCATCATATTTGATACCCAAGAAAGAAAAGACACATTTTATAAGGGGTATTTAATTGAAATAGAAAATCTTGAATTTTCTATGTCATTTAGATCTATATTAGATTTATAACTGATATAAAATATAAAATTAAATCGACATTAAATATCTTATCCACGATCATGAATTATCAAAGTGATTTAATCCATTTCATTTGAATTAACTCACCATGGGTTGGCAAAAAAAAAAAAAAAGTTAACCAACTCACTTTTTTAGTGAGTCGCAAAATCGATGAATGATATTGTAATATTTTACATATTAGTAAGGGTTCTTTTCTTACTATTTGTGCGATGCACATAATATGGTTATGGTTAGAGTCTCAAAATCCTTTTTTATTTTTTATTTTCCTTTTATTGTTGTTTATTTATTTTATTTTGCACAACGTTGATTATGTGTAGGGATGACAAAATAAAGTTGTACTCATAGGTATCTATGATTAATATCCATAATTGACAAAAATGGATATTGTTAATGGATATTCGTGGGTAAAAGATATAAATATTTTCTATACTCACATATTAATAGAGGTCAAGACGAGTATCATAGTATTTGTACTCGTAGATAGCCCGCTAATATTAAATTACTTAGTTTCTGCAAATTTTCTTTGTAAATTAAGGGGTTTTATGTTTTATTTATTTATTTATGCATGTTTTTTATATATTTTTTATTTATGTAGAATTTGTACCTATTTTTTATGCAATTTTTATTTTTTTTAGACTTTATGCATATTTTTGTGCTAATTTTTTCCACAAAATACCTATAGATATCCATAGATATTAAAAAAATTACGGGTATTCATTTAACGCATACCCATGGAAATATGAAAACTATGGATGACAATAAAAACTCATGGGGATAGGTAATAAGATACTTATCCCTGCCCATGTACCGTCTCATACTCATTCGAGTATCTGTTAAACAAATATCTGTAAATTTTATAAATGCTCACGAATATTTATAGATATTTATAAATTTTAAAAATTAAAAATATTACAAAAAAATGTAAGCATGTATATTTTAGTTTTATTGAAATATTAAAGATAAAATAATTGGAATTATTTTTTTATTTGCATTTAACTCTAATTTTGTTCAAATATTAAAAATATTATTAAAAAATGCAAGGTAAATATATAAATATTTATATAATTTTACTAAGGTATCCGTGATGTGGATACTGCTATACCTATCCTGCCTCATTTATTAACTGATAAAAAAATACTCACAACTTTTATATATGAATATTTATTTAGACAACTTATTTATTATTTGTGAATATTCGCGAGTACGAATTTTTTTGTCAATTCACAATAAAAATGAACATAAGATTAATATTTATCCAATAGTTAGTAATAGAGACATACCACTCATATCTAACATGCTCTATTAACACCCCTAATTATCTACTTCAAAGAGATTTCAAATTGACGTAATCATTAAAAATAAAGATTATGGGTTGGTTGATGTTGGCAAAAATGAATTATAAGGCAAAAGATATTTTGTGGCGGTCAAGAGTCATCACAAATCTCAAATTCATCATACACCACCAATTATGTCAACAATTTTTTTTAATGGTGAGAACTCATGAGATTGAAATGAGTTATTTTTATATTACAAAAATTAAAAAGGTCATTTTAAATTTGGAAAATTATAACAAAATAGATATAAATTTAAAGGACTAGAAACATATATATAAAAATTCAACTCCTATATATTAATCGCAAAGAAGTATCTTGCATGAGAATGTTTCTAGGAACTATTATTCGAAGATAAGATTTTTAGATTTTTTTAACTTCTTATCTAATTAAATTTCATATCTAATTATGAATTAAATTTTAATGTTTTTAAAATAAATTACCAATAGATAAAAATAATTTTGTATCACAATATAAATTATTTATTTTAAATAAAAATATAATCGCAAAGAAGTATCTTGCATGAGAATGTTTCTAGGAACTATTATTCGAAGATAAGATTTTTAGATTTTTTTAACTTCTTATCTAATTAAATTTCATATCTAATTATGAATTAAATTTTAATGTTTTTAAAATAAATTACCAATAGATAAAAATAATTTTGTATCACAATATAAATTATTTATTTTAAATAAAAATATAAATAAAATTATGTGTGATATTTTATATATTGGCACATAATTCAATGATTAAATTAATTAAATTTTTATTATACAAAAAATTGTTAAAAATATAAAATTTAATAATTTTAGACTTATACCTTGTAATAATTTGATAATTTTAGTTATATATAATAAAATTTAATTTGTGAAACACAAAGGCCAAAATACTAGTTAAAAATTAAGATTTGGCTCCTTTAAATTTAAAGTGAAAAAATTTCACATTAGAAAATAAAGTATAATTATAATTATTCATTAAAAAATTAATTATCGATAATTATGATCAAATCATAATATATATATATATATATATATATATATATATATGACCTATTTGACATTTTTTTTCTCAATATTTAAAAATTCTACATAAATTAGAATATCTAAAAATAATAAAAATCTCAAATTATATATAATAAAATAAATCAAATATATAACATATTTATTATATAATAAATTACAGACTATACACAAAATAAATATAAAATAATTTAAATAAATTTATATTAAAAATAATAAATAAAAAAGCATAATCAATCCAGAATGTAATTCATCTAATTTTTTTAAAAAGAAAATATTAAAATTTATCCTCTAAATTACACATTTCATTTTGGAAAAGTGAAATTCTAAAAATTAAGATCACACAAAATTTTATTTAAAAAAAATTTCTAGGAAACATAAATACTAAAAAAATATTTAATCTCATAAGATTATTAAAAATATTATCAAGATAATATAATATGAGTCTAACAGATATGTGCATGATGTTATTGGACTTGCATCTCGAAGAGCAAGGTAGTTAGGTGTTAGCGTACTTATTATGACTGGAAAAAATATTTTAAAGAAAGAATAATTAAAAAAAAAAAAAAAAAAAAAAAAAAAAAAAAAAGAAGCAATCGCAACGAAGGCGATGTTCTTGGTTGGTTGACACATACAAGTACCGTGAAACCTAATTACCCTTTATAATTGTACATAGTAATAGTTAGATTTGATTAAGTCAGGCACGAAATATGAAATGATGAGTGGCAGGGTGGTGTAATTTCCGGAATTTCTGGTGTTATTTTGGTTGGGCATGGCCAAAATATCTAGTCCTTCTCCATCGCACGCAGGCCTGGGCGTCTCGAACTTTCTTCCCGAGGAGTAGATATTTTTTTCTCTCTCTTCTTCGCCGCATTCATTTATATCGCTGCATGGCCTCCGCTTTCGCTTCTTGATTTCTGTTCTTCTAATTCAAGCTTCGCAAGTGGGTGCAGGGCTCAACCTTTCTCTGCCGTTTGATGGATCGGGGAGGAGGATCCAACGGCGGATCTTGCTACTATGCCGTCCTCGGGATTCGCAGGGACGCCTCCTTCTCTGATATTCGCACTGCCTACCGCAGACTCGCTATGGTATGCCATAACTTAAACGCCGCCGTTTCCTTCTTTTTCCTATTTTCATTTTTACCAATTGTTTCTGAATTTTGTTTTGGGCCGGGCTGAGAAGAGGTGGCACCCGGACAAGTGGGCTTCCAATCCCGCAACTGCCGGAGAAGCCAAGCGCCGCTTTCAGCAAATCCAAGAAGCCTACTCAGGTTACCTTTGCCAGTTGCAATTTTTTTCATTTTAATTATTAGTATTCTTTTATTTGCTCCAAATTTTGATTTGGATTGGTGCGGTTACGGGGTAACAGTTCTTTCGGATCAGTCCAAAAGGTCAATGTACGATGCGGGGCTATACGACCCTTTGGAGGAAGAGGATCAAGTCCGTATAGTACTTTTCTTTCTTTTGATTTCTAGGTGCCGTAACCAAGCGGAGTAAAACGATGCCGTTTTGGTCTCCGCGCCCAAAACGATGTCGTTTTCTGGCTCTGCCGTTATGCGTGCAACCCAGCCATTATTTAATTATTTGATTGAGGAAATATATGATTTTTTTGACGGCAGGAGTTTTGTGATTTTATGCAAGAGATGATTTCAATGATGAACAATGTGAAAGACGAGGTAGGGGTTGAATGGGTTATGATGGTTTTTGGCAGGGTGGAATGTCGTGGTTATAGTTAATGTGTTTGATTGTGGTGTAGGGGGACAGTTTGGAGGACCTACAAAGGATGTTCGTGGAGATGGTGGGGGGAGATGGAATTGGCTTTGACTTGAATCAGGATCACACGGCTGGGAAACGAGGACGCGTAAATGGATCCAAGGGCAACGCGCCCAAGCGCAGTAACTCTCGTTCATAGTGCGTTCTGTTCTACTCAATCCGTCTTGTAACTTTACACTTTTTCTTTCATCATTCAAATGAAAGACCTTGCAAGGGTTAAAACATTTTAATTAAGGAACCATACTCCTACTGCAACTGTGCAAATCCAGCTTCCTCTGTTTTCTTTTTTCACGCTCAAATTCTATTTACTAATTTCTACTCCCGCATTTTACCAATGCATCGTGTTAGCAGAAGTACGACACGTGTGTCACATGCAAGATATATTGATTTAATTAAAGACGGTTGTCGGTCGAAGATAAAAAGAACATACGTGGAATCTGTTGTTTTATTTTTTTATCTTCCGTGCTTTTTTAATTCTTAGGTAATTAGAAATTATTATTATAAAAAAGTTGCTATGTATGAAAACTCGTAAATAAACAACAAAGTAAGACATTTTATATTATTAGGGTAATTTAATTAAATAATTTATTTATAGTATTATTGTAAAGCTGGTCTTGTCCTCTCGGGGCCTGTTGTCCAAGTTTTATAAAATCATTTCGTTTGGTGCAAGAGGTTTCTAGTTCTTGTCTCGTTGTTTAGTTATTTAGACCGATACAATTGTGTATCTGGTTTATGGTGCACTACTTTTTACTGATTTCTGGATTATCTTGGTCTTATTATGATAGAGAAAATCTAACATGAAGCAATGGGTAAGGTGCTACAAGAGTTTGGGAGAAAAACAAAGTGTGAACTTAAGGGGTTAACTTGAAGCAAATAATTACTAACCCTCGGATATATTAATTTTAATTGAATGGTGACATGATTTTGACTTAAATTATTTTATTGCCTTCGTATAAAAGCTTGATTTTGGTGAATTGAGTTTATTCTGTTATATGGGTTTTTTCTTAAATCACTTTTTTTTAAACTTTTATTATTTTTTTATGTTTTCATATACAACGAAAAGTCATCCTCTTGTTCTTCCTCCTTCCACTGAAGGGCGAGTTTATGGCAATAGCCTCTAAAATTTGAAATTGGGGGAAGGAACAATAGGTGTAATTTGTTAACTTGCAAACAAACAAAAATGACAATTTCTCCTAAAATGTTCCCAACCTGAAAATGATGACCCTCGGGAGGGGTGTTTATCAAGCTGTTAGGGTTACTCGAAAATAGTATGACTTGAAAAGGGTATTTGTACTCGAAATGAAGATAAAGGTCAACACCTATTAGGATTGTATCAGGGGCCTTAATTATTTGCGCTCGAAAGTCGAATCAAAGAGAGAAATGCTTGAAAATAGATAAAGGAGGTTACCAGAGGTTTCTAAAAAGGGTTGAAGAGTCAAAACGGAACAATTAGTGGAAAGTGAATCGAAAAGATAAAAAATACGTGGGATTAACGGTTATGAGAAGTTATCTGTCAGACCACGTAATAAGAACGTAGTGGATAACGATTATTTTCCAATAACTCACGCGTACATATTTAACTGCCCTTAATTAAGTTCTATAAATATGCAAAACATGGTAATTTACGGAGGTCGGAAAACTCATACTAAAACTATACTCTCAAGCACTTTCTGCCTACGCATATGGCTTTCGTGCACGGAATTGTTTTTGGGTATGATTCCTTCTCGGCCATTTTTCTGTTTTCTTTTTAGGAGTAGTATTAGTGTAGTTCGTTCTTCTTATTTCTTTTGATTACGTAGTTCTAGCATTCTGGCATTGTAATTCCTGTTAATTATGCAAGTGAACCATGATCTGTATTGCAAATGTATCTATCGTTCATGCTGTTTATTTAAGGATTTACTTTCATGAATATTATTACTTGTTAATCGTTGATGAATATTTAGAAACAAGTAGCTTTTAAATCTTTCTGCTCCATCTCGTGGTACTTCAAATATCTCAAAACGAAACATACCTAAATTGAAACGTGTGTCGTGCTAGTCCGAATAAAAAGAATCCATAAAACGAGTTTCACCGTAAACAAATTGGCACGCCCGGTGGGACCCGTTTAAGTCAAACATAATTGGACTAGTTTTAGGTATGCATGTTGCATGAGACTTAGGAGTGGAAGAACCATGTCTACATCTAATAATCAGAGAGAAACAAACACGAACAATAATAATCACGTAGATGTAGAACAAGCAAACCCTAACCCCGATAATGTGACCAATGTGACCAGGGGGGCAGCAACTTCCCCTGTGTTACTCGAAAATACAGCTAGGCAAACAAATGTCACTCAGGAACTAGCAAGCGTCACTAGGGAATATCCCTGGGGTATGCCACAGAATTGGCGAAATACCCAACCAGTACATGTCGAAATGCCAATACCTTTCTTAGGTCCTAATCCACAAATGCACGTATCCCCACAGGGATATAATCCTGGACCAACTGACTTGGGTTTTGTTATGCAAGACCCATATAAACACGTAGGAACGAGTCAGGAAGGTTCCCTGATTCGACAAGGTAGTTACATCCCTACTGGTATTAGTAATCAAGTCATGATGGCTCTTCGACAACAGATGGACCATAGTAATCATGACATGGTCAATTTGTTGTCAACTCAGATGCACAATATTATGACTCTTCTGTATGAATTGATAAACAAAATAGGAGATAAACTAGGTGAGGGACCACCCTCGAGATCCATGAGTGCAAATTTGAATGAAATGGATAATCTAGATGGGAATGAGATTTTTCGATAAAACGTAGGTCGACCTAATAGGAATCCTAATGACAATATAGATCAAATAGTAGAAAGAATATTAAACAGACATGGATTAGATGCAGGTCGAAATGAACGTCCTTATTTTGTGTCAGCCTTCCCAGATTATGTAACTCAAGTAGAACTACCTAGAGGAATAAAAGTCCCAAAGTTTTCAAAATTTGCGGGAGAATTAACTGAGTCTACGGTTGAACATATAGTTAGGTATGTAGTCGAATGTGGGGATTTAGCGAATAATGAATATTTAAAGATGAAATATTTTCCAAGTTCGTTGACTAAGCACGCTTTTACATGGTTCACAACCTTGCCCCCTAATTCGATACACACTTGGATTCAGTTAGAAGGTAGTTTCCATGAACATTTCTTTAGAGAAGAAACGAAAGTTAGTATAGTTGATCTAATGAACATTAAGAGACAAAGCCACGAAACTTTAGATGACTATTTAAATAGGTTCAGGCAATTAAAATCTTGATGTTATACTAATATACCTGAACATGAATTAGTTAGGATTGCAGCAACAGGGTTAGATTTCTCGATACGTAAAAAATTAGTAAATGAACAGTTGAGAGATATGACCCAATTAGCCGAAAAGGTAAGAAGGATCGAATAAATCAAGCTAGAAAAAGAAAGATTAAGAAAATTTGATAAATTTGTTCGAAAGGAAAAAGTGGCTTATTTAGAAAATTTTGAATTCAGTGATGATCCTAACTATGAGATTTCGAGTGAAGATTTTGAGATCAACTTAGCGGAATTGCGTCCTGATCCTACGTACCAGTGTCAAATGTTAAAACCATGAGATAGTGTAGAAGGAAATTCGACTAAGAGATATAATTTTGACATGAGTAAGGCAAAAAAGATATTTGATATCTTATTAAAGGATAAACAAATTATACTCCTAGAAAATCATAAAATTCCACCATTCGAGCATAGAAAAGGGAAGAAATTTTGTAAGTATCATATATGTATGGTCATTGGACTAACAACTGTGTGCGTTTCAGGGATTTGATCGAAAAGGCGATTACTGATGGTCATGGTCGCCTTGCTTTCGAAGAGAAGGATATGAAAGTTGACACTGATCCATTCGCTGCTCACACTGGATATGTCGAACCAGTTTCGATGGGGATCAATATGGTGGACGTTGCTGTCGAGGACGATGAGAACATTGAACCCATTTCTGATGAGAAGCTCGAGGAATCAATGGAAGATTTTGCTAAGGAACAGGAGCCTATCTATCCTCAAGCAAAGGTTGATAAGCTGGTGTATCAAAAACTTGCTCAGTAAGTTGTTCCTTTTCCTTCTCCGACCCATATGGATCACTCGTCCAATTGTCCAGAACCTGGAAGATACTTTCGATATCTTCATCCCCTTCATTAAAGAAACTCATCAGATCCAAGTTTGCGGAAGGAATGGAGGAGAGGGCTTGGACAGGAGAGGTGGCACCTCCTTGAGTCGAGGGAGAAGTCGTGAAGGGTCTAGGAGACTCAGTCGAATCTGTACAAAAAGAGAAAATAGCCATATGAGATAGTTCCGTTAAGAGTCACGATAAGGGTGTGGAGTTAAAAGAAATATACCCTTGTTTGGATTCAAGGGGGGTTGGAGCGCGAAAGAATCTTCACCTTGGGCAGACTCTTGCAAAGTCTCCACATTCACCAAAGGTTCCGACTGGGGAACCTTGTCCTCTTCGACTTGAGGAGGAATCTGTATCGAGGCCACAATCGAAGCTATTTCAGTAACATTCAACTGGGACGTGACCAACTGCAAACCAGTGATGAGATCATAAGCAAATGGTTTTTTAAAAACATTTCTCGAACAAAATGATAAGAAATCAGGAAAGAGCAAAGGGGAACCTGTGGAGATGCCCCAGTGACGGGAGGAAGATCTCTCGACATTTCTCGAGAAGAATCAATGTGGATGATTTCGGTACCCTACGGTGAACAAGCATTTTAGAAATATCCAAGTAATGAGGAATTTCAGTCAAAATAAAAAAAATATATAAAAATACCTTAGGCACCGATTTCATGGCATCTTTAAGAAGCTTCTCAATAGGAGACTTCTGAGTATTCTTGGAAAGATAAACCACCAACTTTCCCTTCCCCTTATCAGGTTTTTTCGTGGTTGAGACCTGAAAGTAAAAGAACAATTTTGATAACTAAAAAACTCGAAAGGGAAGGTAGCACCCGTATTTTTGGGCAAGACAATTTACTTACAATTCTAGTGCTGTCAGAGCCCACTTTTTGTTTTTTCGAGGTTTCAATAATCTGCAATGTAAGAACCAGAAAAGGTAAAGTGAAATAAATTCTATAAGTCTTAGTAAAGGACAAAATCGAAAAAATTGTACCTTGGAACGTAGAGAAACCTTGGCAGCGGCGGTCTTTCTTTTTCGACTTTGTAATGATGTTCCCTTTGCATCATCATCATCATCACTCTCCCAATCAAGATTTTGTTCGACGTGTTGAGGAACACGTTGAGAAAC